CTTGCTTTACTAGCCGCAGCATCACACTGAAGACTCATGTTCATCTTGTGGTCAACCATGACCCCCCAAGTCCCTTTCATCTGTAGTGCTAACCAGCATAGCACTGCCAAGCCTATAAGCATGGTGCAGGTTTTTCCTCCCAAGGTGGAGAATATTGCATTTTTTGGTGTTCAACACCATCAGGTTCTCATCCTCCCATTTCATGAGTCTGTCCAGATCCGCCTGGATCACCCTCCTATCCTCAAGTGTGGATGCTTTACCCCAAAGTTTGGTGTCATTGGTGAACTTGGCCAGTCTGCTTCTGACACCGATATCCACATCATTGATGAGGATGTTAAACAGTATAGGCCCTAGAACAGAGCCTTGTGGGACCCCACTGGTCACAGCGCACCAAGATGATTGACTCCTGTCGACCACCACCCTCTAGGTCCTACCGCAGAGCCAGTTCCCCGGCCAGTGGATCGTGGTCATGTCAAGGCCCCAGTTAGCCAGTTTAGCCAAGAGGTGATCGTGGGATACCAGATCAAATGCTTTTTTAAAGTTGAGGTATACAACATCAATCTCTTCCCCCTTGTCCAGGTGATACGTCACCTGGTCATAAAAGGAAATGAGGTTGGTCAAGCAAGACCTACCCACAACAAACCCATGCTGGGTATCCCTCAGGATATTGCCTTCAGCTGCTCTGTTAAGGATGGCCTCCTTGATAAGCTTTTCCAAGACCTTCCCCAGGATAGAGGTCAGGCTGATGGGCCTGTAGTTTGCCAGATCTACTTTCCTCCCTTTCTTGAAGATAGGCATGACATTGGCCCTCTTCCAATCATCAGGCACTTCACCGGAGTGCTAAGAGCTCTTAAAGATCCATGCCAGGGGCTGAGCTATTTTGTCTGAGCATTGAGCATTTCTGCCATCAATTCCATGCATACTTAAGTACACTCCATTACTAGTGCCGTGACCTATAGGTTTTCATTCCAAACCATTGTATAAACCTTGGCCACTGCCTCAGTTACATTGGTTTAGTGAATCCTATGGTACTCAGGCCTCTCTTTTACATGATCTGCAGACAAGGTCCAAAATAACTGTGGTACATGAGTTAGTCCTGGTAAGACCACACACAAATATAAAGTTATTTACTGTGTGTACATGTTCTGAAGACTGTGCATTGTCTTTTATTCCTTTGAAGGAAATGTTCTGTCTTGGGAAGGTCTCTGATGTCTGGCTAAGATGCAGGCATGAACGTCTATCACAAATTATTTCTTTTGAGGTCCTTTAAGTGCCAGAGGTAGTAGAGCATTTCTCTTACCTCAGTAGCCACTTCTCTCAGAGAATGAACATTAAGGAAATCCAGCACAAGGTCCAGTACACAAGCACCTCCTTTGGGGAAATTGTTTGAGCATGTTTTTATTGATTGTGACCTACAGGACACCAAGATTCAGGTCTACAATGCAGTAATTGTTCTTACTCTCCTCTAAGGATGTGAAACATAGGTGACCGACAATTGTCATCTCAAGACCCTGGACAGGTATCACCAACAACACCTCCAGAAAATCTTCTCCATCAAATGAGAAGACTGCCTCATAAGTGCCAGCATCCTTGCTGAAGCTAATATTACCAGCACTGAGTCAGTAAGCCTCAAGCACCAACTTTGGACCAGACATTGTATGCAGGTGCCCAACTCTCAACTACTGCTTAGGTGTGGCCTGAGATCTTGCAGTGGCCATAGGAAATGCTAGAAGGACACATTGAAGGCATACTTCAAGAAAATGGATGCCAACATCAAGAGCTGGGAGGATCTGGCTGCTGACCAACCCCAATGGTGCCACAAACTCAACTAAGTGGCAGCCCACTCCCTCAGTCAGGCTCAGGGAACAGCGCAAGATGCACGGGTGCAAGCCTGTCATGCTCCCACACCCCCAAAGCCCCCCAGTGACCCCCAACATCTGAGGAACACCCCTGCTGACCCACAGTACAGCTGGAGGTAAGCGGGCCCATGGTGGGAGGGGACTAGCCCAGCTCAGCTGCAGCGAGGCAGCTGAGAGGAGCCAAAGAGGGTCTCACCCCACCCCGGCTTCCAGTTTCCTGGGCCCTACCTGGCCCAGCCTCCCCCAGGGATGGAGTAGAAGAGGGGGATAGGGCACTTACTGGTCCCTCTCCTGAGGGGCAGGGTCCCCCAAATCCCAGGTAGGGCCTCCTCTTGCCCAGGAGTAGCACAGTGCTAGTGGCAGGCCCACTGCATATGCACATAGTTTAAAGGGACCTGGCAAAAGAAAATAAAACCCAGTCAGGCTCAGGCAGTGGTGTAAGATGCACAGGTGCAAGCCCATCGTGCCGACACACCCCCAAAGCCCCCCAGCGACCTCCAACAGCTGAGGAGCATCCCTACTGACCCCCAGCACAGCTGGAGGTAAGCGGGCCCCTGGTGGGAGGGGACTAGCCCAGCTCAGCTGTGGGGAGGCAGCTGAGAGGAACCAAGGAGGGCCTCACCTCGCCCCGGTTCCTACTTCGCCCAGTCCCCCAGGGCACCACATGACTGGAGCCTCGTGAACAGGCTGCACAAACAGGTATGCTTGTCTGCCCAGCGTGTGAGTTAATGTGGGAGTTTGCACAGGAGGGTGAGCAGGAGGGCCCAAAACCCTGCCAGTGAGCCCTAGGGAAGGCAGTCCCATCAACAGCCATCCCCCCAGCAGCACAATGCAGATGGGCACACGTCACATCCACAGGGTCCCCTCAGAGTCTTCGGCCTCACCCTCTGGCGTCTCAGAGGCCTCCACCCAGATGAAACCCGTGGTTCTGGGCTCCATACAGACGGAGCCTTTGGCTTTCAGCTGTGGGGGCTGCCTGGCATGGTTCCCGGCTCATGGGACTGGGAGCATAGCCACCTCCCCTTGCAGGGTTTGCTCCACTTTGGAGTCTCTGGGGCATCAGATTGAGGAGCTCCAGGCTTCAGTCCAGAGACTGCATGCCATCAGGGCTGGCGAGCAGGAGATAGACTCCTACTGCCAGGCCCTTTACCCGCTGAAGGTGGAGGGTAGACCAAGGTCACCTTCCAGAACAAGGGAGGACTTGGGGATCTCCCATACTGTCCAGCTAGGGGGTTGGACCAAGGTGGCCAGGGGCCCCAAGGCCCACCGCACCAAGGTCCCCTCCCCTCTGGGGCTTTGCAACAGGTACAAACCTCTTGCAGCCCCAGTAGAGCCTGCAGAGATGCCAGGTCCTGCAGGCAAGGGAGGATCACACACCCCTACTCTCCCTAAGACAAAACACAGAGCGCTCATCATGGGAGACTCCCTTCTGAGGGGGACTGAGGGGGCAATCTGCCACCCTAACCCCCTAGCCTGCATCCAGGATATAGGTGAAAGGATCCCAAAGATTCTCCAGCCCTCTGACAACTACTCTATGCTCCTCATCCATGTGGGCACAAATGACATGGCTCAGAGCAATCCCAGCCAGATCATGAGAGACCACAGGAGTCTGGGAGCGGGGCTTATGGGGTTGGGGGTGCAGGTGGTCTTTTCATCGCTCCTCCTGGTCATGGGCTCAGGAGGAAGAGACGGGTTGAGGTAGTCAACCAAAGATTGCAGAGCTGGTGTCATCGTGAAGGCTTCGGCTTCCATGATCAGAGTCCACTCTTTGGTGAGAGAGGTGATGGTCTGCTGGGGAGAGATGGCCTCCACCTCACTCCACTAGGGAGGAGGCTCTTCTCAGCCAGACTGGCTGACCTGCTTGACTGGGCTTTAAACTGAGCCTGCCATGAGTTGCAGGGATTTCTGCCACTGTAAGCCCACTGGGCAACCCTTGTAAACCCATCAGGCTAAGGCTTTCAAGTGAATCCACCCCTACCCTAGCCCTGGAATGATTTGTGGGGAAGACAAGAGCCCTCAATGGGACACTTGCCTGCCTTTATACCAATGCCAGAAGCTTGGAGAATAAACAGGAGGAACTGGTCCTCCTGCTAAACAAGAATGACTACAACATCATAGAGATAACGGAGACCTGGTGGGACTCCACCTATGACTGGGCCACAGGTATAGATGGCTATACCCTGTACAGGCGGTATCATGCAGATAAAAGGGGTGGTGGTGTAGCTCTCTATGTAAAGGACTGCTATACATCCCTGCAAGTTGAAATTGGCACCCAGGAAGGACAACTGGAACCTCTCTGGGTTAAAATACATGGGGAACGTGGCACAGGGGACATCATAATAGGAGTTTACTACAGATCTGCTAACCAGAAACAAGAGCTGAACCAGGAATTCACCAGGGAACTGGCTGAGGTGGCACAATCTCAGTGCATGGTTGTCATGGGAGTCTTTAACTACCCGGACATCACATGGGAAGAGCACTCGGCCAAATCTGATTAGTTGCAAAGCTTCCTCACGTGCATGAGTGAGCTCTACCCGACCCAAGAAGTCAATGGACTGATGAAAAATAAAGTGTTGCTGGACCTAGTACTGGCCAGAGAGGATGATCTAGTCAGTGACCTAAGAATTGATGGAAAGTTGGGTGACAGTGACCATGAGCTGATCACCTTTACTATCCAGCATGAAGCTGGCAAGTCAGTCAGCAATACAGAAGTCCTTGACTTCAGAAAAGCTGATTTTGACAAGCTCAGGAGGCTCATTGTTGAGGCCCTAAGGGACCATGACTCAACAGGCAGAGGAGTCCAAGAGAAGTGGTTGCTCCTCAAGGGAGCGATCCTGACAGCACAAGGGATTTCCATCCCATCTCAGAGGAAGGGTAGCAAAAGGGCACAGCAACCCCCTTGGCTCAGCAGGGAACTTGAGGACCTCCTATGCCTCAAAAGAGAGACTTATAAAGGATGGAAGGTTGGAAGTACCACCAAGAAGGAGTACTCAGCACTGGTCTGTACCTGCAGGGAGCGGATCAGGAAAGCCAAGGCTGCAACTAAGTTCCATCTGGCCACACATATCAAGGATAACAAAAAGTCCTTTTTCAGATATGTAGGGAGTCAGAAAAGAAGAAAGGGTAACATTGGACCCTTGCTGAACCAAATGGGACAGCTGATAACCAACACTCAGGAAAAGGCCAGTGTCCCAGGGGCACAGACCCAGGAAAGGGGGAAGCCTCATTCAGAGGCAAGACCCAAGCACAGAAGGAAAGAAACAATAACTTACTTGTTGCAGGGACAGAGAAGAGGGGGAAAACGCGCAGTGGGGGACTGCCCGCATGATTCATTACCCGCACATATATCCTGCTGGGGCCAGGTGACGTCACAGGAAGACACCACCTGGTGAAGATAAGAAGCGGCCCCAAAGGTGCAGGGGGAGAGCTGAGGAGCGGAGGAGCTGCGGGAGACCATGGCGTGCGGCCGCAGCAGGCAGCAGCCACGGCAGGAGCAGAGTCCAACCAGAAATAGAGGTCAGCCAGGGACCAGGCAGACAGCTGGAAGACTGACAAAGCCTGCCACTGTAAGAGCTGCAGGATGTCCTCGTGGCAGGGAGGACCGACGGGGGACTGACAGGACTGCCGAGGAGGGCAGCAGTAGCCGCGCCAGTAATCAGCGTGGGAGCTCTCGGTAAAGGCGACAAGTGTCGCAGTGCCTGGGTGGAGGACAACGCTGGAAAGAAGGAGGCAGAGACCCCGGTTGGGGGTGAAAGCTGGGACCTAGGTCTGGGCGTGCAACACTAGCAGCATTAGGGGTCAAGGGTGTGTGGGACCCCTTCCTATGAATGTCCCCTGTCTAGTTTTTTGTGGTTGTCAAGCTTTCCTTGGCAGTCGTGGTGCCAACACTTTTTTTGGTTTTGGTTTTTAGGTTGGTTCACCTTGGGGTGGGGGGTTTGTGGTGAAGGCTAAGGGCCCTAGATGGGCAGCACAAGCAGCAGGGAAGATAGGCCCAAGAGCTGACTCTTACCAGACTTCCTAGGTCCAACCAGGGTCCAGGGGTCCTCGATGGCGGGATGAGCAGCAGGGACCCAGGGGAGACATCTGCAGGGAGCGGCGGCAAGGAAAGGATTAGGAGGCCTGTCTCCAAGGTTGGCATGGGGCCGCGGTGTAGGGGAGGCTGGAGCCACATGAACGCTGACCGAGACTCAGGACCGCACTGGAGGTATCCTCTGAGGACCCCCTCCCCTGAAATAACACTCAAAGTCATGGCAGGCGAGTTTGGGGGTCACCCTAAAGATACCTGAGGTACTCTC